CCAATTTGGGCTCCACGCAACTCTTCTGTGTTTATAATGCTAAATGCTTTTTAAAAGTTCTTACAAAGTGAGTCCTGTTTTTTACCTTTTTGAAACAACTCCATTAAAGAAACTGTAGTACATCGAAACATAGAGACAGAAAGTAAAGTGAATAAACAATAGAGTGCAACATCATAGCTAACATTGCAGCATCTCTGACATAGTCGGAGCCTCGGAGGTTCATCACCCAACAAACTGGCACACTCAGATTGCATACGCAGAACACTACAGAAAACAGGGCATGCAAAATGAAACTTCAGAGAGTCACGGCCAAACGCGAGCAAGCCGATGCACCACCGGGTACAACAATCATCCAACAACACGATGCCCAAGTGGTGCCCATCCTTTTGCCTGGTCAAACACCCCAGCCACCACCGCCGTGAGTCTTCTGGCTCCTCGCCGGAGAGCCGCCATCACATTTTCCTTCTGCAAGCCGGAACAATCATCAATATGCTGACATATTAAATGAATGGCACTAGCAATATCATTCGGGCACTCTTTCTGAAACCACGTTTTGTTGTGTGTCTTCTGGATAGCCCATATAACATTAGCTATCCCCACAGCAATTGGCTTCCTTCTGTTTGTAGGAAAACTTTAGATCATTACCAAGCACTGATCCAAGCGAGCAGGGGTCGACGCAACTTTAAAAGTGCATTGTACAATATCGAGATGAACCTAGCTATTGAACACCCAAAAAAATAGATGGTCACTAGATTCATCCTGGAACTTTGTTCTCCAACCCACCCACAATTTAGTAGGGTATCTCTAGTTCATATGCTTAAGAACCAGCCATGAGAAAACAATAATCATGGATGAGATCTCAACCTTCCGAAAGGAAACGACAACCATCAAAGGGCAAGTGTGAATAATGTTGTTGACACAAGGATTTAACAACAAATCTTTAGTTGGGTTAGGCATATAAATGAGTATATCTTTGCCTTCTTAGAGGGGGAAATCTAACACAAGATCCTTCAAAGCAACTCATTTTTCTAGGAAAACATCCCACATAGCTCTTCTAAAACTCAAACACCGACAAGCACTCATGATTAGCTTATCAACCATAGTATTCAGAGAGGAAGTAAGTGCATATAATCTACTAAACCTAGTAGCCAAGGACGATTGATCTCCAATCCAAAGATCCTCCCAGATGCTAGTAGCCTTATCATCATGGACTTCTTTTCTACAAAATGTGTTCAACAGATGTCCATTAAGGCATTGCAAAATTGGGACTTGCCATAAAAATTGTTGGCTGGTGACAAGGTCTACTTTTTGAGATATTTCTTAAAGAGCAACTCTAGACAAATCCCATTTTCTATGACCATTTTCCAAGAAGGGCCATGTTTCATATACTCAAGGTTTACAACCCTTTAGTTACTCCATAAAAAGATAGCATGTAGATAGGTTTATTACTAAGAGAGGAGCAAGGTCAGCCTACCTCAAATGAAAGTAGCTTCCCTTGTCAAAATTGAAGTTTCTTCTTTATGCCATCCTCAATAGGTTTCCAATCTTTATATAAGATCCTATCACTACTAATAGGAATACCTGGATATTTTAAAGTTTTTTTAACAAAATATGTAAAGAAATAAGCCTCACTTTTGTGAAAGTTTGTTTAACCCCTAGGAGTTGTTCAAAGAGACATAATTTTTTTTAAAGTCACTAGCATTCTCCTCCCCTTCCTCGAGGAGAAACAACGTAACATCTGCATATTGCATGGTATCATGTCCATTTCCTAAAGGTCAGAGGCTAAACCTCTAATGAACCCAACCCCCTCCCCTTATGAACCAAATAAGCAAGTGTATCCACTCCAATATCAAATAGAAGGCGTGATAAGGGACCACCTTGCCTCATACCTTTATAAGTTATGAAGTAAGGTCCAAGATCATTGTTTACTTTGACAAAAACTTTACCATTCACCATAATATTCATGATTAAACTGGTGGTTTTATCAACACAACCTTTAAGCTTCATTATTTTATAGAGAAATTTCAGTTAATATTATCATAGGCTTAATTAAAAAAATCTACTTAAAAGGGAACCCCTAATTGTTTTTGAAAATGCACGTCATGCAAGGTTTCATGTAAAATAAGGACCCCCTCCATAATATTCCTACCTTTCATGAATGGAGCTTATAAGAGATCATTTTTCTTCTTAGCACATACATTCATCTTGCTACTGACACCTTTTGTTACAAGTTTAAAGCTAGAATTGAGCAAGCAAATATGTCTAAATTGCTGAATTTTGTTAGCTCCAATTACCTTAGGGATTAGAGAAATGCTGCAATAGTTCAACCTCTAGGCATCTAATTTACCTTAACAAAAATCATCAAAGAATCTTTTCAGATGATTTTTAATAATTACCAAGAAATGGTGGTAAAACTCAATTGGGAGCCCAATAGGCCCAGAGGCTCGTTATTATCAACAGAAAAAGACAAGGGCCTTAATCTTTTAGAGAAAATGTCACTATGTCACTATTATTATTTTTTACTCTAGATGTAATTTTTAATGTCATCCTCAATCACATGATTGAAGTAAAAGTTGACATCAATATTATTACTAACTCCAGATGCAAAGAGTTTTTTTTATGAAACTAAGTTATAAGTTTCATAAGATTATCTTAACCTTCAATGATGTTATCACCAACATTGAGTGAAAAGATGGCCTTCTGTCTCATCCTTTCATTGGCTGTACACACAAAATTTTAGTGTTGCAATCACTTAATTTCAAATCATTATCCTTTGGCTCTTTAGATCCACTTGATCTCGTCCTCTTTCATTAGGTGATGATTGGATTGTTGTTTTCTAGGGCTTTACACCTGTAAAAGATATACACCTCCATCCATTGTTTTCTTTCTTAGTTGGAAATCATATGCAACTGGTAAAATACACCTGTAGAATAAATACGGGTGTAAAAAGATACACCGATTACAACCAGGGCATTATGGTTTTTAGCTCATATTTCTAGAGATTTTTTGCTGGGTCTCATAAGCATCTAACCCATACCCCCACCCCCTCCGTCCCCAACACAAATCTAAAATCTCAAGCTTATCATTCAAAACTTTTTTCTCCTTTTAATGTCACCAAAAAAGATTTTTTTCGAAGGTCGGGGGGGGGGGGGCAAAGCCCCCCACCTGAATCATTTTTCTTTTTACTGATTTTCAAAGGAGTAACAGAGACATGGGAAGTTACAAGCGAGAGAGGTGGGGGTGGGGGGGGGGACAACACCCCTTTTTGTCACACGAGCTCAATCACACACATCACTGAAATGGTCACCGCAGCCCAGCCCCCCTCCATGATTCTAAATCTCCCTTTCCATTCATTAAGAGGGTTCTCTCCCCTAAAAGGAAGGTCCAAACCTCTTGGATAACATTTCTAAGTTCACCCCTCTCCATCCAACACAATTCAAAATTGATTTTTGTTCATGACTCCCAATGTATATCAACATGGAGGTATATGATCAGAGCCATTTCTCTCAATAGCCCTGACAGTGGTCATAGGGAAATGCATACTCCAATAAGTATTCAGTAAAAGCCTATCAAATTTCAAATATAAAGGATTCCATGGTCACTGAACCATGTGTATCTTCTGTTAGGCGGGTCTAGCTAACAAACTAAACATTTCAAATACATCTTATCTTGGACTCCATGTAGGACAAATAATTTGTCTTGGACTCTAATTTAATTACGAGAAAAGTGTACTTTACGTCCCTCAACTCTTGGTGAAGTCTAGATTTGGTCCCTCAACTTCAAAACCGGACAACTTGCACCCCAACTACCGAAACCGGACAAGGTTCGTCTCTGGACTCGGTTTTGACCGGTTTTGGTGTTGACTCACCCCGGTTTTAACCGCTGCTCACTCATATTCCTGTAACTTTTTATTTCCGTGAACTTTTTGAAATTCACATACACTTTTTAACCCCGCGTAGTTTTTTCAAGGTCCCGTATTTTTTTTTCAAAAATAAACATACTTTTAACAAATCAGCGAACTATTCTGAAATTCGCGTACTTTTTTCAAATCCGTGATTTTTAACATTTACGTACTTTTTCCAAATCCCCGTATTTTTCCCAAGTTTGTGTAATTTTATCAAATCCAAGTATTTTTCAAAGCCATGAATTGTTTTTAAAATTCGCATACTTATTTCAAATCCACATGCTTTTCAAAGTCCGCATTTTTTTTCAAATCTGTGTTCCTTTTATAATCCATGGACTTTGTTTGAAATTCACGTACTTGTTTCAAGTTGAAATAATTTTTGAAATCCACATATTTTTGCGTAAAAGAAGTCCCTGTCCGCGTACTTTTTTCAAGTTCGCATAAAATTTTCAAATTCATGAATTCTTTCAAAAAAAAGTTTTACTCGAATATGAAAACATACATCAATTTAAAAAAATGAAATGAACTTTTAAAATATGCATATTTGAAAAAGTACATGAACTTGGAAAAAGTACACAAATTTTAAAAAGGTTCACATATTTGAAAAAAGTAACCGAATTTGAAAATATTACGTGGACTTGGAAAAGGTAGGCAAATTTGAGTCGGAACGGTGGGGTGAGACAACACCAAACCGGTCAAAACCGTGACTAAGGATGAATCTTGTCCGATTTCAGAGTTAAGGGTGCAAGTTATCTGGTTTTAGAGTTGAGGGACCAAATCTAGATTCCGCCAAGAATTGAGGGACGAAAACTATACATTCTCTTTAATTAAGCAAATGAGTTAGGATGCGCAATGCCTGGCTGCCTGCCTCATCGTTGTCCTCGTTCAACTATGGAGTGGCAAATCGGACGTAATAAATGACAGCAACTGACCGACGACTCCGAAAGGTCAAAGTCGTCTTCCGAGAATTTTCTTCCGATGACACCTCTGAGAGTGACAATGGCATAAAGATACGACACGTTAGCGATCAAGCTCTGGCCAGCCTCTCCGCCGATTCCTCGTCGAGCATAGCCAATGCATCCATGATCCATCCACCATGGCCGCCACCGCCACGGAAGCAAGCACCACTGGTTCGTCGTCGCCGCGCACCAGCTTCGTCGCGGACTCCCTCATCCTCCCCACGCGCAACGGCAGGCTCTTCGCGTCCACCTTCGCGCTCGTCTACGCCCACACCTTCGTCTCCCTCTCCGTCGCCGTCCTCTACGCCCACCCCCTCGCCACGGCCGTCCTCCTCCGCGTGTACTCGCTGGTCAGGGACAACGACGGTGGCCCCGGCAGGAGCCAGCACGTCGTCTACGCGTCGGAAAGCGACGACGAGATCCGGGGACACGCCAAGAAGCTGCTCGTCGTCTACCTCGCGTACCTCGCTAGCCAGCTCGCCACGCGGGTCGCCGTCGCGCTCGCTGCCTCCGCGACGTGCCGGGGTGACCGGCGCCCGCGCTCGCTGGCCGAGCTCGTCCGCGGGAAGGCGGCCGCGGGGACGGTCCGCGGCACCTTGGCCACCGCCGCCCTCGTCACAGTCCTCGAGCACGCGTCGTTGGCGGTTCTCCTCGCTGCGTGCCTCGCCCTCGCGTCGTGGCGATGGTGGACGAGCGGTGCCGCTGCCCGGTTGGACGCCGCAGCGTCTTTTGTGACGGGCTACGTGCTGTTCCTCCTCCTCCTCCTTCTCCTCACGCACCTCTTCCTCGCCGCGGTGTTCCAAGTGGCGATCGCCGCGTCCGCGGCAGATGAAGGTTACGGCGAAGGCGGAACGCGCGCTGCTTTCCGTCGGGCGTGGCGGCTCATGGCCGAGAGGGCGAGGAGGAAGGAGGCCGCCGTGATGGTGCTCGTGGCGAGCCTCCTTCCGGTTGCCATCTCCCTGGCGTACGCGTTTGCCATGTACTGTTCTCAGAGGGCACCCGATGCCGGTATGGTCGGTGTCCTCCATGTATATCTTCTCCCGTCCATCGGCGTGCAGCTCTTCTCCACGGTGGCGGCCGCTGTGTTCTACCACCGGTGCATGGAGCATCATCATGATCCGGCTGTCCTTCAACCGACGACGAAACTAGCTATAGCTAAATCCTCCGTGATCGATTAAGTGATGTGATACTCATCTTGAATTTACATGTAAAGCACGATTAGTTTCTAGAGTCTGATTGATATTTAAAAGTTTAAAAAATAATATATCCATTTTTGCAATATTCTTTTATAAATAAAAACGAGCCGGCCGGCTCTCCAGTTTACATTAGAAAAAACCCGCCAGTAACAGAGTTCAGCACATCAAAATGTAGAGACAAAAAGTAGGGTGAGTAAGCAGTAGAGCACAAGGAAGAACAAAAACGCTGCCGGCCCCGCATCGTCTCCAGCGCGACACGGGCGGCGACGGCCTCCACCACTCGAGGTTCCCCCACCTCCATCCGTTCCCCTCGCCGCCGCCTGTTAGCGTCGCCGGGGCAAAGCACCGTGTGGCGTAAGGTGGCGGCGGGGCGGTAGTCTTTCCTTTGCGCGTCCTTCCATGCATCTCGACGGAGATCTTCCCTGATCCGTGATTGCCGGCACCATCACATGTCCTCGTCGGCAGCTGGAGTTCCCATGCTTGTGGGAGCTGTGTCCAGTGGGGCTGCGGCTTTCGTTCATGGCTCTGGTCCAGCGGCTGCCACCATGGAATTTCCATTGCCAGATCCAGACGAGGCGGATGCGATCTGCGGGAATGGACTGGGCGTGGTGTGCCATGGTGATCCCTCAACGGCCTGGGTGGAGAGGACCACCCATTTCCAGCAAGCTACGGTCAAGGTCCTGTAGGTTGGAAGAGAAACTTCCTCCTATGCAGGGCTACTCCGGCTGTACACAAGGCCGAGCACGGCGGCGTTGGTGATAAGGACCGTACGTCTTCTTAGGCATACCGCTTCCCAGAGCGACCTAGGACGGTTGTCATCGGCAGACCTCATGGCCAAAGGGCCTGGTTGAGCTGATGACCGCTCACTAGCTAGTCGGATTGTGCTACAATTTGGGTGGCTGCTACTGACGGCTTGTACCGGAGAAGTCGGGTTGAGGCGAATTCGTCTACCACGGGGGCCCTGGGCGTGGGCTACTATCGACGGCAGATCTGGTCTGTACTCTCTGTTGTGAGCTGGACCATGGATTCAGTGTGGTGGGCGCGCTGGGCTACTACACATGAGTTGTGCGGCGTGCTCAGCGTGAAAGCAATCCTTTTTGATCTGGCCATAGGCCATTGGCGAGTTTCAGACCTCTCCTTTGAAGGAAACAAGGACTGGCGTATATGGCGCTCTGGACACCTTGATTGGACAGGGGCTGGTTGTGTGCCCCCGATACATCAGCATAACCAGCTTCATCGGGGTGTCGCGAAGCTCTGTTTTTGTTGACACATTGTTACATGTTTGCACCAAGATTTCCAAGGTTTCAACACATGCGGAGAATGTCACGGCGTGATTGGACGACCTGCAAATGACGAAGGTGGGGTCTTTGATGCGATGAAGACCTTGCTTCACATGCAGTTGTTTAGGCTTGGCTTGCGGGATATGTTCCCGTTGAGACTGGGCACGAGTTCCTGTGAGCATGGTGGTACGTGATTTGTTATAGTAGCCTCCGCAAGTGGGGGCGGCAGCATTGAAGGACTTTTGCAGGTCATGGTGCTCTTTTGGGTACTGAGACGTGATTTTCCAGGGTGAAAACTCAAGGTCCGGCCTTTATTGGTTCTGCCTGACGGTGACCTTGTTGAAGTCATTGTTTTGGGAACATGTTCTTTCTTCAGGGTGAAAACCTACGATCTTTGACCAGGCAACGACAACGCTTGTGCTTTGTTTCCTTCTTGAAGGCGTTGCTTTTGAATAATCTTCTTTGTAGCCCGGGTGTTGTCTTTGGTGATGGGTAGAGTGCTGCTACTGCGGGTGATTGATCACCATGGCAGGGTGGTTTTTCTCCTTTTCCCTTTTTATTTTCTTTTTTGGCTGTGTCCATTCTGAATGTTTTTAGGCATCTTGTTGGTGAAGAGACTGGATGGAATTGGTATCTACTTGATATTAATATATACTCCCCTTTTCAAAAAAAAGTAAGCAGTAGAGCTAAACAACTTATTACAATTAAACACAATATATCATCAGAGGAGAAACCTCTAAAACAGTGGCTTGCATTGAAGATCAGAGAAGAAACCTCTAAAACAGTGATACAATAGTTATCCGCTAATTACAGGGGTTTTGAACGCACCCCAACAGAAGAAAGGCTAAATTCTCTAAGATAAATGAAACAATATTGACCCCCAATCTCGGAGAAGAATAGCTTTTACATCATTGGGGTATCGATTAGACCGAGTATTTAACAAAAAACTACCACAATTCATGGAACCGTGCCTATAAACTACCACTTTACAAATTTGTGCGAAAAACTACCATTTTTTCACTAATCTTTGACTAAAAACTACCATGTATAAAAAGTGTCCGATTCAACTTGTTTAAACTCAATTATGACGAGTTGGCCCACACGTCAGTATAGAAAAAGCAATCAGCCCCCCAGCTCGCCCATCTCGCCGGGAAGGCACAGGCACGCCGGCAGCCCCCACACGCTCCAATGCGAGCAAGATGGCCGGCGGCGGAGACACTACCGCACTAGCTGCTTGTGTACGGTGTACCCAACACCGTCGGAGTTGCCAGGCTAGCTAGCCATGGCCATGCACTACTGCTGCTCGTTGCGGTCGGAGCTGCCACTTGCCAGGCCAAGCTGCGTAGCGGCCCTGCTGGCCTCGCTACATGCTGCCGCGAACCGCGTCGCACCTGCTCGCCTCGTCCGTGCAGCGGTGACGCGCCGCCGCTGGCCGCCATGCTCTGCCGTGAGCCGCTGGTCGCCGCATGTACCCCGCAGGCTTCGTCGACTGCGTCGGGGGGACCTCTCCCCCTGCGACGACCTTGCCGACCTCGCCGGCGCCGCCAGCGTTTCCCGCCTCTGGTGCAGGTTCGGACCACCTCCCCCTCTTTCTCGCACGCGCTCCCTGGTGGCTGCCGCGCCCCGCAAGTCTCGCCGCCTGCGTGTGCCGAGCTCACCGCATGTGCCCGCTGGTCGCCAGGTGGGGAAATCAGTCGATGAGAGAGAGGGAAGGGGAAAAAGCAGGAGGTACGCACACCGCCGGCGACGACGTCAGATGGCAGGAGGATGGAAGGTTTGGCGCCAGCCGCTCCGGCCACACCAGCTCCGCCATGAACTCAGAGGAGGCACGCGGGTCACCGGAGAAAGAGATCGAGGCGGCGGTGGTCTTCACCGGAGAAGGAGGCGGAGGACCCGATTGCTTTTTTGAAGAAAAACTAGGGACCCGATTGCATTTTTAGCCCGTTTATGTGTGGGGTCGGGCAGTCAGATTTGCGTTTAACCCAGGCAAAGCGAGCAGCTTTCACACTTGGTAGTTTTTTGTCACGGATTAATAAAAAAGTGGTAGTTTTCGGGACAAAATCGTAAAGTGGTAGTTTTCTATCACGTTTCCGCGAATTGTGGTAGTTTTTGGTTAAATACTCGATTAGACCAAATAATTGGGGCATCGATTACATGCGCGCGCGCGTGTGTGCATGCGTGCGTGCGTGCGTGCGTGTGTGCGTGTGCGTGTGCGTGTGTGTGTGTCTCACAAGCTCAAACCGAGCGTCCTTCCTCCTTAATCACACGCTTCTTCCTTCCTGCCGTAGGTTGTGGTGCTGGCATGACACAGCTTACCGTGTAATTGTAGTAGGGCGGTATGCAAGAACTCCATGCGAGAGCATCAAGTTTCCCACTGGGAAATGTACCACCACGTCTCGAGATGATTTCCTGCAAACTGATCTTGGGGACTTGCTCACTTGAATCTGACTGGCGATGGCTGCAAATCAAGAAATATTCGCAGCTTCTTCCCAACCTCCAATGATACCGATGTCCATCTTCGCACACAAGATGTGCCTTTCTATAAGCTCTCATGGACCCAAGGATTGCGCGCCAGAATCTGGGGCTGAAGTTATCTCGCAGTAACCCGGCAACTATGTGCCCACCCATCAAACACTGTCTATGCTCTGAAGCGATCTCCATGGCCATCGCCACCATGCTTGGGTGCTCGTCAGGGTCCGCGCTTCCGAACGCGAGCGACTTGAAGAAATACCAATAGGCTTCTCGAGGGACACGGCCCAGTCGAAGCGCTTCCGTCGTTCCCAGATCCACTATTCTGTCTGACCGACCGGTGACTATGATCTTAGGGTTAATTGGATTCATACCACTGCAATTTTCACCAGTTGGAAAAATGCCATTACAAAAACCAAAGTTAGAAATATGCCACTACAATTTTCACATACCTCTACATATGCCATTTTCAACAATACTGAGCCATATACTACCCTTATATGCTTGTAAATACCTTTATACGGCAGCGGCCAGAGGCACGTGCGACATAGCTGGAGGCTGGCATCGCGGATGGTGGCGCGCGCAACGCGGGTGCTGATTCCAGACTCCAGAGCTCCGCGCACTTGTCCATGGAGCCGCTGATCCCCGAGACGCCTTGAGCTCGAGTTGATTCCGCCAGCCGTCAACAGCGCGCTGCCCGTCCATGCCCCGTCGTCGGCCTCGCGCTCCCCGACCGTGTCACTCATCGCCCGACCTGCCCGAGCTCCAGCCGCATCTCCGCCCCATCGAAGCTCCGGCCCCGACGAACTCGTGTCTCTGCCCGTCGCGTTCACAATCCCCGACAAGCTCGCCACCACGCCGCACTCCGCCGCCCGGGACGAGCTCGCTCACCATGCTGCATCCGCCTCTAGACTGCGCCCAAGTCCCCGGCCCCGTCGTGTTCTTCGAACCACTATACAACCTCCGCCCGTCGAAGCTCGCGTGCGTGCGTTGTGTTTCCGGCCGGCGGCGGAATCGCTGCGTACGTGCGTGTGAGCCAATGAAGGCCAAGGGGCCCCACTCTGGACTCATCCAACCTTGCTGGTATAGTTTGTTATGTGTGATGTCATGCGGCACACACACACACACTACATCATCACCTGCTCTGATCAAGAACCCAATTTAGTGCTACGTCTTCGTGTGTGGGAGTGGGCATGCTTGAGAGCATCTTGCCGGTGCTAGGTGCGTGCAGGTTCGATCTGGAGCGGAAGTCAGCTTGCTAGCTGCGTACGCCGGAAGTACTCGGCGGCTGGGCAAGAGAAATCGCGTTTTTCAATAACAGTTCGGTGGGCACATGGATAGTACGGTCAGTACTGAAATACACATTGGAATACAAGTCTTTATTGATCCGTTATTCTATTAAGTCAAGTTAATGGCGTATATAGAGGTATGGAAAAGTTGTAGTGGCATATTTCCAACTCTGGCTTTTGTAATGGCATTTTTCCAACTTGCGAAAGTTACAGTGGCATGAATCCAATTAACCCATGATCTTACTCCCACCGCAAGGTGCCATGTGGGTGACGCACGATTTCAGACTTGTCCATGCTCCCTCGTTGATGTCCTTGTCGGTTTCGACAATGATCAGGAACCTGTTGTGAGATCGAGTGGCACAATTCCGATGTCTGACTCTGAAGTTGCCGGTCCCTATAAGGTCGACCACTCCTTCGTCCTCAAGGCAGCTGCCTTCTGGAAAGAAGAGGATCGTCGAGAAGCGACTGCGCACATTTTCATCCCTGCAGACATGCTCAACAAGAGTGGTTTTCCCTCCTCTTAGTGGACCGACGATCGGAAGTACAGCCAAGATCGGAGCAGCAGCAGGATGGAGCAAGAAATCCAAGACCTGTTCCCGTTCCGTTTGGCGACCAAACATGCAGTTCTCCAAGAGCAAATATGCGGCGTGTGGTTGGCGGAGTACCTGAGGATACGACTCCAAGAAGACAAGGAACTCCTTCATACCTGCATCCATGGTGTCTTCAAGAGAAGAAACCACCCGTTGCAGCTCTTCTCGTGTCTTGTTGTTTGCACCAGACATTAACAGTGCCGCTGCATCTCTGTTGCTGCTGCTACCACCGCCACCGGCACCACCGGAGAAACGAAGCCGTTTGGCCAGACTACTGGATTCAGACAGCAAAACAGCAGTCAGTGAGTGGCTCGCCTCCTCCTCGTCTTCAAGGGCGGCTTGGAATCTCAGGGCATCAAGAATGTAGCGGCCTCTGTACATTCCTTGCCTCAGCGTCTTCAGCTGACGGAGCATCCCCTGGTTGGTGATGCGCCGTCCCTCGGCCTCCTCGACGACGGTGTGGATTCTCTGAACGACTCGCTGCAGCCTCTGGAGAACCATGTCGATGCCAGGCTGCTGCCGGAAGTACTTGCCGATCACGAACGATGCCGACCTGCTGACGAGGTCACCTACGATTGCAGAGACGAGGATGTCCATTGTTATGTGAACGTCCTTGACTCCAGCACCAGGTGGTACTTCGACGGAGGATAGCGGGGTAAACACTAAACAGCAAAGAGTGCTAGCAGCTGGGTGGACTTGACTAAAGACTCGCAGAGGCTTCTGGATTGAAGGTGACTGCTTGACTGATGACTGCAATTAGTGGAGCACAATGCTGGATGAATCAACACGCCATAAGACGTGTGGAATTTGATTGTCGCTAGTTTGACTGATTCTTGGTTAAAGAACAGGTGGCATTATTTCCTTCGTGTATTTGTATTTATTGCGGAGAAATCCACCCTGCAGCTGACATGACAGAAAAAAGTTCAAAAAACCCTGAATCTAATGCTATTTTATTAAGAGGGACGAACTTTCAGTTACTGTTCTAGGTTACACCTGGAGATGAAAATGGTTGGATTACACAGGGAACATGTTTATTAATTCACGCCTGTTATAGTAGGTCTCACTAGCACTGTATATGCCCTTCCCCCCAAGGGCTTCCCTCACTGTATATGCTCTGCCCTGCGGCCCTGCCTCCGGGGGTATGGTCATGGTTTTTTTAGAAAAGCAAATACACTGCTTTTCAACAAAAATTCAAATGTATAAGATTAGGAATTTAGTCTCAAACCTTCAATTTGTGATTGAATATTTGGAGAACAAACTTGATATAGAAACATAAATCAAGAAAATGGATATAGGATGCAGGTATAGGCTGTA